TGTTGATGTTTATGAAAGGCCTTGAAAACTGAAACTTCTTATAAGTATGAAGAGGGTAAGGGCAGCTTATATACTTGCTCACACACAAATACACCCCTACACACACACACACACCCCAAATCCCAGGGCTGAGCGGAACTCCATACCCCCCAAAGATGTCACAGTTTGAGGGCTGGCATCATCTACCCTTACTCCGAGCCCTGTCCTCCCTTCTGCTCACCGAAGGTCACTACCCCCGTAAGTCTCCTTCGGCCTCTTCCTCCTCTCTTTCTGGAATCTCATGAGGCAGAATACAGCGACGGACAGGATCAGCACACCCAGGAGCACTCCGATCACCGCCCCGGCCATTCGGCCTTTGGAAGGGTCTAAGGACACACAGGACCCTCAGAGCTGCACACCCTCCTTGGCCCCTCAGACCATCTCATGCAGCCTCTGCAGCCCAGGCCTGCCCGCCTGGCCTCTGCCCGGCATCCCTACCAGTCACAGACAAGGTCAGCTCGCAGGAGGCGCTGCCCATCTGGTTGGTGGCGACACAGCGGTAGGTGCCCGAGGAGGCCCGGGAGAGATTGGTGAGAATGAGCTGACCAGACACCTCATCTAGAGAGTAAAGAGGAAGTAAGTGTTCCATTACTGGACTCGCAGTGAGCACCCCCTGTGACGAAAGCACTTTTCATTTCATCCTGTCAGGAAGGGACTAACCTCAATGTATTAGTCAGTCCCTTCCTAACTAATAAATGCCAAAGCCACTGCAACTCCTGTGCACTTTCCGCCCTACGCAGCTGCCTTCTCAGGGAGGGGGAGGCTGCACACACGTGAAGCTCAGAAACTGGCAATGGAATTGGGGTGGGTGCTCACTGGCTGATGTCAGGTTCCTGGTTGCAGGCGGGGGGGAGGGGGGGGTCTTCATCACTAGAAACTGTATCCCCTGGGATGGCTCTAAGCTGGACCCAGTGCTTTTCTAAGCTGCTTACCTTCCTCCCTTTTTAAAAAAATATATTTTTATTGATT